TTGGGACAGTCCACGGCATCTGGAAACCAAGGCAGCTCCTTGTTGGGGTTCTCTCCATCTTCAAGCATTGCCACCAGGTATAATCTCGGCCTGTTGTGCGGGATCGCACCGTGGGTGCAGTTGTTCATGATCTGTGCCTGGCACTTGTAACCGGCCGTTTTCAATACCTTCACGATGGCATTGAATATTGGTTTGTTCTTTGCATTCACAAGGCCGCTTACGTTTTCAAATATTGCAAGCTTTGGTTTCCGGGTCAAGACATAGTCGACCGAGCTCAGCAAGACACAGATTCTGCTGTCTCCCAAAGATTTGCGGAGGCCAGCGTTGCTGAATGGCGGACACGGTGCCCCTGAAATGTAGACATTGCATGAAGGAGCCGTTTCATTGTTCCGAGCCGTAATGTCCCCAAACACGATCTCCTGAAAGAGAAGCCAAACAAAACCAATCAAGCAAACACTTGTTACTTAAACACGAGCACTTACACTTTTAAGAAAAATGCAGAAAGTTAGCCAAGTCACCGGTTTGTCTTCATAGTGTGCATGAAGTTCCAGAGCCATCATTCTCCGCTCTTCATCGATGTCCTTGAATGGAGTTTGAACAACACCAATGATCATAATTAAATAAATCAATCGTCGTTCAACCAAATCAAATGTCAAGCGTCGGAGATGAAAGCGGTCTCCAGCTTCAACTTGTTCCCAAAGGCCAACTTCAGGCTCACAAAATCAGACCCCAGCCCGCAGCAGTCGGAACCCAGAACAATGGTGCCTTTCTTGAAAGGGCTTGGCGGCTTAGACTTGCGAGAAGACTTTGCCTTGTCCACCAACTTCTGCAAGAGCATTCGTGCAAACTTCCTTAGGGCCAAATGTTGAAGTCAATGTCAATCAACATATTTCTTGCGCAAAAGTCAATCAAACATGGTATCAACATGAACTTACTGTAATTATATGTAATTATTATCCATGCGTCTCTTGAGCGTCTCCCTCGCCGACATCCTTCGTGGTCGACTCAGTCTTAGTCTTGGTCGTCTTGGTCTTCTTAGTCTTTGTCTTCAACCGCTTGATGACCCCTTTGCAAGGCCGACCTCCCGACGATGCCCTTTTGACGTTTTGGTTGAACACTTCCACCGCTGCAAAGTCCAGGTCCATGGATGATGGCAAAGGGCAGGACCGGCGCAGGACCGACAGGGCTTGATCTCAAGTTCTGAAAAAGTCACAGAACTGAAATATAATACTGAAACATGTCAATGCAAGCCTACAACTTGATCCAAAGTTCTGAAAAGTTTGAACTGATGAAATGAACCAGGCCAAAGTCAAGCCGGTCATGCCTTGCAGGTTTTGTCAGCCAAGAATCAGATAACATCAGTCTCAGACTCAGGCGCTGTGGCCCAGTCACCGCTGATGAACCCAACATGATCGATGGCATGAGGGCATGGGGGCCCTGTCAAAAAGCTTCCGAAATAGGCTCCCTTTGGCCATTCAGCTGCAGCGTTCGCCGGAAGCATCGCTGTCCGCCTCAGATGATTCAATCAGATCGGTCTTGGGTTTCTTGTTCGGCTTGGGATCCTCGCCGCCGCCCTTGTTCTTAGTGCCTCGAGGTTTTGGCTTTGCTTCGGGCTTTGGTTTGGCTTCAGGCTTTACCTTCGCCTTCGGCCCGGGCTTTCGCTTTGGATCACCCCCACCAGCGTCGCCAGCACCAGCAAGTGCACACCACTCTGGGCTGTAGAACGTGCTCCCTTCTTCAGTCATCTTCTGCTTGACGAACTTCACCAGCTCGGCCTTCAAAAGGCTGGCATGGGACTCAGTCAGCGTCATGCCTAGGAAGGGGATCCTCTGAAGTAGCGCTGCTTTCGCAAGGCTGCCACATCCCGTGGTCAAATCCACCACAGCTCGCACCTCATAGGCCTTCAAAGCGTTCAGGTAGAAGGTTGTCGGGAGGTGGTGGAAGAAGACTGGCTCATAAGCTCCCCCATCGCGAACCTCCTCTTTGTCCTTCTCCTCGCTCGTCGGGGCATCGCAGCCAACCATCTTTGCTCCATAGAGCTCTTTCCTCGGCGGGTCTCAGAACAATTTTCAATGACTGACAAATTCCAAGGAACAATCATGAACAAACATATTCCTTCTCTCTTATCCATCATCTTAATATATACTGGTAAAAACGCCCAAATATGCCCAAATCTTAGTTTAAGCTTCTTCTGGTTGAAGGTCAGTGACCACTCCTCAGCTGGAGGTGGTAGCCCAATCCAACCAATGCAGTTGCCTCTGTTACTGCCAGGGTACTTTGAGTGTTTGCGTTCCGGGATCCAGGATGACAACGGTTCTGTACCGATGACGTGCCATCGTTGAATCTGATTGATAGATCCTCGATTGAGCTTCCGCTTGCTCTCCACTGACTCCTGTACATTGGGGCCGGATTTGACTACTATTTGACTGTTTGCTTCAAGAACATGTGTGTTATAGACTTAATCCAGTTTGAGCTCAATGACACAAAGTTGGTCCTGGCTCAGGCAAAGGGTGATTTCGGTTGTGTCCAGGTAGTGGGCAATGGAGGCTTTGCCCGTCTCCTTGACCTTGAAAGGAGAGAGCAGGGACTCAAGCACATTGCGGCCACCATCGTTCAGGAACACATAGTCACCGTCCAATGGCTTGTCGTAGTGATCATCACCGACCTTGGAGTTGGGGCTGCACCCCCGCCCTTTCAAAGCACCATGCACAAGCTTCTTGACAAGCGCAGGACTCAATGGCGGGAACCGCCTGTCTGGCCGCTTCAAGGATTCACCAAAAAGCTGCGCATCAAAGTGGATCATGATGCACCCTTTGCCCTGCGCACCCAGATGCTGTGCAACATGTGATTCTTTCACCACCTTGGCTACTCCTGCCATTGTGGCTGGCTCTGGGAGCTCTTAGAAGAAGGAAAGAAAATGGCAAAGCTGAGGCACCCATCATTGATCCAGATGTTCAAGGTGTGGCGAACCTCTGATCCAGACTCAGCGTACGTGGAGATGGAGTTTTGCGGTGGAGGAGATGTTCACAGCCGGATTTATGGAGGGCCGACTCTTGCAGCAGAACTCATCCTGTGGCCTGCCTGCATTTGATAAATTTGTTGTCGGTTTGCATAAATTTTGAACTCCATAGTAAGGACTGACTGCAGTTGATTTTTTGACATGTGTGCATTTTACATGTCGTCATCGTTTGCTCAAATGCAGGAAATGGATCCATCAATGCATGGGAGGCATCCACTTCATGCACAGTCTCTTGTCATTGAAGTTTGCCTGAGGCTCATTTACTAAGAAATTCAAGTTTTTTTCATGATACGGTGTCATTATTTAGTCAAAGACCGTTGTTTTCAATCAAGCCAAGGTCACGAAATACTTCACTGTGACATCAAACCAGCTAATATATTTCTGACAAGTGATGACAATGCAAAACTGGGCGACTTTGGACTGGCTGTCAAAGGAAGTCATGCCGTTTGGCTAGAATAAATGGCTGACACGTTTCAATGAAAAAATTATGCCCTTGAGTCCTTGATTGAGAATTGAGAATTGTTTGGATGTGATTAGTTTTGATTATCAAGCAGTGGTCAATCTTGTGTCGTCACAGGCCCTTCTGCGCGGTACTATGGAATATCTTCCTGCGTCTGCGTTGGAAACACAAACAGTGTGGCCATGGGCTGACGTCTATGGACTTGGAGCAGCCTCTCTCTGGGAACTTATTGAAAGAGATCTTCTTTTTCCTGAGACGCCTTTGACCAAGGAAACTCATTGTTTGAATTCAATATATGTCAACTTGAAGTGTTTAAATTGACGTTTAAATTGACTCCTTTTGTTCTTATCGTCGCTGGAACTGTGCATGAGCTTAAGCGGCCAGGACAACGCTAGATACCCGTTCCCAGAAATGAGTCCAGCGCGAAGTCCATGGCGGGACTACAATGGCCGCCTTCAACGTGTATTCGATGAGGCCAAGGAAGAGAATTCGTCAGCTTCCTTCGCCGACACGGTGGACTGGTTGGAAGAAATCATGCGGCAGTTACAGTTGCAGACAGACGAGATGCCTACTGGACCAGCAGCTATCGAACAACATGTTCGTAAGGTTAGGAAGCGAGGAGGCAAACCATCAGCCAAAGCATCGAATATGGCCAACCAAGCCAGAAGAGTTCGCCGTGCCTCGGAAGCACTAAGTAAAATATCCATACTATAACCCACTTTGACACAAACAACTATAAGGTTTGACTTGGCACAGATTATCATCTATAAAACTGTTGATACATCTTTGAACTACTCAGGAAAAGCTGCCAAGAATAAGAAGAAGAAGAATGAGGGCAACGACAATGGCACGGAATCAATGCCTACTTCTTAGAGGACTGAAGTTTGACATTTGATGCATGAAGACATTCGTTGGTATTATGTTAACAGCACACATTTCTTAATCTTACCCCAAAACCACAAAAACGCAACTCTTAAACGTCGGCCCCCCAAAACGCAACCGCTAAACGTCGCCCACCCCTCGCCGGACAAACCTGGCTTCTCACGGAAAGTTTGGCTGGCGAGAGCTACCCCCCCCGTTGGGGGGGAGGCTCGCCAGGCAATTCTAGATTCGCTTGGCGAGAGGGACCCCCCCCGCTACGGATCCGTCACGGGGGGGGTAGCTCTCGCCGCGACTTTTTACCGAGGGCACCATTTTGACAGCTGGCAGGACTGGAGCCTGAACCAATTCATGACTGCTATTTACCCCAGCGACTTGCCAGTCATTCAGACTTTAATTTTTCAAGTTTCAAAGAAGACTGTGGAAGAGATATTGCTGCTCTCAGGTCTCAAAGGCGCTCTGGCTGATGTGATCATTCGCGGAAAAAATATGCAGGACTGATTATGTTCAATAATGAACTTTCAAAGACTTGCAAGAAACAAATCTTGTTGCATCATGATTCTTGGGCGGGTGGATTTCGCAATTTTTAGATCAATCTTTGTCTGCCTTGACCTGCCGCGCCCGCCACATCGTCACAACGTGATGCCGGACCATTGGACTAAGTGGAAATTGAACAAAAAGGAGGAGAAAGAAGTAGAGGAACACGAGAAGACGGTTTACGATGGCAGCATTGCTATGGGGAACACCGTTGAGGATGCCCAGAAAGCTGCGCGCGAGGCCAAACTGGCCAAGACCAAGGCGTGCAGGACAAAACCAAAAAACTGTCATGTGCACAAAAAGACACATTATGTTCATTCAACTCAATTCAAAAGATTTCGACCGACTGTTTTTGGAGTTCTTCACTGACAAGGCCATGAAGGAGCAGAAAATGGCCCGAGCGGCCGCCAAGAAATCTGGAACAGTTACCACTGTTGCCACTACTGCTGGGACCTACATTGACAAGGACAGCCTGCCACCGGAGGCCAACACCAGCTACTACGAGAAGCTTATGGACAGCATGAATGTCATCCTAGCCAACCACAACTTCTGTGACATCCAAACTGCAGAGGCGCCACCCATTGTTGATGGAGCTAAGACTTCATGGGTGCAGGCTGGGGTTATTTGACAAGTCGTTGATTCAAGCAAAAGAAATGCTGTGATTGATTGTGATTGATTTACCATGCTTATTTTAATAATGACTCGGCCAGGAACCCTTCAACAGCAAGGCATGCGAGATAGCCTTGCGCAAGGAGGGCACATACCGCTGCGGGATCAACCTTCTTTGGATTGACCCGTTTGCATCTATCACACCTGCAGTCCCCCTAGACCATTCCCGCGTCGTGGAGCTGGGGCAGTTCGCCTATCCTGATGGAAAAACTCCGAGACACCTCCAGGAGAACTTTCATGTAGCCACCGATGCTGCGGATGTGGACCTTTTGGGGAAGCGTGGAAAGTGGCGAGGAATCAGTCCTGAAGAGATGCAGCACAGTCTCATCTTTGCTTTGGCCAAGTGCATTGAGGACAAGGCAGGTGCAAAACGAGTCATTCAAGACTGATGTTGATTTCATTTTTGAAACGATAATACAAATTTTAAACTATTAAGGCTTGCGTTCATCTCTTTTCTATGCCTTTCAGGTGGACGATGACTGTCTCCAGGATTGGCGAAAAATCTTTTTGACGGCTCCTTGCGTGATTACCATCGTGGGCAACGACGACCAGATGTTTTGGGAAGCCTTTCGCAAAAGACAGCAAGTCATTGCCTCCTATGACTGTGTCAAGCGGTCAGCTCGACAACTTGCGCATGAGGTCCGTGCTTTCAAGGTGAAGAAGGAGAAGGAAACAGGAGAATCCCTATCCATCAAGGATATCACGGACCTTTTCGGTGAAAAGAAAGACCTGATGGCCAAATCTACTCGTCAGGGTGACATGGCCGACGGATTTGTCAAGGATTGCTTGTATGTCTATGACAAAATGTTGTCCGACCCAGACTGCAATCAAGTCCTTGATCGCTTAGAAGCATTGTTTGGCCTGGGTTCACCTTTAAATTCGCTGAGCAAGCTTCGGGTCGTCATTGAGAAGAGCGAGAACCTCGAGACAAGGCCAGCGGTCATTGATTGTTGACGTCATTGGTGTATGGTGTATATCAAAACATAAAATAATTGAGTGATAAGTTGCGCAACTTGACTTTGCTCAGGCAATGGGTCCTGCAGGTGCTCTGCGACATGATCGAAAATGGGCAGCTGGACAAGGATACCATTAGCAAAGGATATTTGCAAGGGAGTGGCACCAGCGCATCGCTAGTTGAACTGCTGAAGTTGAAGCGAAGCACTGTACAGCACTTTTTGTAGGTTCGGTTCGTGTGTTCTTGAAGCCGGTGTATCCATGAATGATGCTGTTTCTAATTTGTTTCAATTCCCTTGCAGGTGGAACTGCCAAGGAACCAGTTCGACACGGAGGATCTGAAGATGATCTATGAGAAGATCATGACAGTGAAGAACTACAGGAAGTATGTGAATCCGAGCAAGACAACGGACAGCTCTATCCTTGCAGAGGTTCAGTGGATGTCTTCTTTGAAAGGCTCAAGCTTGCTGGTGCTACGGCTGATGGAGGACGACATTGTTCTTGTTTTGAGTGTTCTTTCAGTCTTAGTCGTTCTTAATTTATAGTTTTTGTTCTTGATTTGTTTTTTAGCTGTGTTTGCAGGACCTTCTCTACAGCGTGACTTTGAATGGACCGCTGGTTGTGCTCTTGAAGAAGGGCAAAGGTGTGAGCCCGCTCGAACTTCTCGACATTGAGACGTTCAATGTCCGGTGGCAGCCCTGCTTGGCTGCCAAGAACAACGAGCTGGCGGCGGAGAAGGCATTGTACCAACAGGATGGCAAAAATGCCAAAGAAGATGTTTGCACCCAGATCGCCGAGGGAAGCTTGGCGCCACAGCCATCCAAGTACCCAAAAGGATCTCGTGAGTACCTTGGATTCAAACCACAAACTTTAGATGTTCTTCTAACTCACTGTTATGCTTTTGATTGTCAAGTTTACGGAATCGATCATTGATCTGTCAGTGAGGCATTTTGTCGCTACCGCCGCGTTAAATGACTTCAGAGCCCGACGAGGCCCGGCTGATGCCGGGCTTTATCGGGCTCTGAAGTTACACAAGCTGAGTTTCTGCAAATTCACAATGTCATTTGATGACAAAAGCTGATTCTGCAATTCTGCAAGTTGTTTCTGCTCTCAAAAGCCGTTTCTTAGATCAAGCCGATGTCATTTGAAGAAGTCAAGCCAAGTTGAAAAACACAATTCATGGCAGTTCACGGCATACTTCCGTGATACTTACCAAACCGCTTTCATTGAGCTTTGCCGGCATGCCACACGCCGATGTCGAGCCTAATGCGCTTGGCGAAATAGACTTCCTGAGAATCATGCGTTCCTCGAGATTCACGGATGTCAAGAGACTTGGTGAAGGTGGCTTTGGTGTGGTTTACAAGGGTAAACACGCAGACGGGCAACTACGCGTGGTCAAGTTCACCCCCAACGCGCATGAGGAGCTAGGCATTGTTTGAGCTCGCACGGCATATCCATGAGGCGGTTGCCCATGGGTTGAATCCAATAAACATGCGCTGATATCCATCCCTCAATGCATGATCGCCATCATCATCGCCCCATCACCGCCACATTCATCACCGCCATCGTCGCCCCATCACCGCCGGCCACTCATCACCTTGATCTTTACCAGGTTTGGCTCCAGTGGCTGGCTGGCTCGAGCGGCTCTTGAAAAGCACGTTCATTGCTTGGCATCAAAATGAATTAAGTCTGAGATGAACATGTTCAGCTCTTGAGCCTCTGAATGAAAAAGCAGCAGGTGTTCATTTACCATTCTTCTAGAAATGAAGACAAAGCTTTATGAACGCTATTCAGCCAACCATGGCCAAATGGATTAGAACTTATGCAATGGGCAGGACAATGTATGAATACAACAAAACAAACCCATCTTGACTTCAATGACGCAATCATACATCATATTTTCACCTGGCCCCACCGAGGTGTTCCCTGTATGCCGCATTTACGGCTTGTAGTAACCAGAGTTCTTGAAGTCCATCTTGGAAATACTTTCCAAGAAAGAGGACTTGCAATGATGCCCCGCATCATCCCCGCCAACAACCTTGGCCCGCGCAGCTTCAGTCGTGGTGACCAACTTGATAGTGGCATCGGACCTGTTATCTGCCGGCTTCCACTTGCTGCCTCGAACATTGAAAGCACGCATCACTGTGCCCTCAAAGTCTGGATGTTTTTGATGGAACTGGCTGCTGAAGAAGACCCTTTGCCTTGTGTTGATGGATGCCTTGAACTTGACAAGAAAGCCTGGCTTACCTTGCAAAAGTGAGCCATCCAAGACTCTGAGGCCGAACAAAGCGGCAAAGAGCTTCACGCGTTCTGACAAGGTGGTGCAGTCAGGGACTGCAAAAAGAGTTGCTTCTTTGCGTTCAGTGACTGCAAATAAGTTGTGTTTCATCAGCGAGACTTCTACTTCAGGATCGTTCTGCAGGGTCGAATCCACCCAAATCTTTTGGCCAGTCAGGATGTCCCAATCCATTGGGCCATTCATCTTGGACGCCATCTCATTGAACGACTTATTCCCACGCACCAGCTCTTTGTCCTGCTTCTTCTCCTTTTCCAAGGCGAGGGCTAGATCAGCTTCATCAATTTCTGATTCATCCAGCAGGCCATCACGGAAGCCCTCAACGACCCGCCGGGTTTGCTTGCCTTTCTGAAACTGAAACTCTTTTTCATGACCCTCGCCCCAAAGAGCAGCCACTTGGCTATCTTGACTTGGGTTCAAATCCAAGTCAAAGGACAACGACAAGGCATCATCCAAACCAAGCATAGCGTCGTTCACCTGGTTGTGCCTCAGTCTTTTGAAGCCAGCCTCTGTGCGGGGATCTTCGTCAGGTCCAGGAGGGCGCTTCACTGACTTGTCGACTCTCTTTTTCACATGCGTGCGGGTGGTGCCTCAGATGAATGAAACATACAAATAGTGGCCAGAATAACCACGCCCTATGAAACAACAAACATGATAAGACTTCAAGGCACCCACATGGCATTGATTGTACAGCTGCAGAGCCTTCTTCACTGTATCATTCATGTCCACCTGGCTTGTTTTGCAAAGTAACATTCGCAAGGCCCGGTCTTCAAATTCTGCGGATGCAGGTGTTTGTCCGCACGTCTTCATTCTCTCGGACTTTGCAAAGTTCTGCTCAACCCCACTCGTGGATGCCTGCCAAGCAAGGTATCGGTACATCACTGGGGCCAGGTCTGAGATGGGGTAAGACTCCTGTGAACGTGATGCGGTTTCACAAAAGAAAGGCACGCTCATAGATGGTTAATTGATAAAGTGCATTTCAGCATCAATTAAAACAATTCGATCCAATCAATCTAGTCAACGCAACATTTTTAAAACAAAGACATAGTTTGACCTTGCTGCTGTCCTTCATTGATCCCCTGTTTTGAGTAGCCAACATGGTGGCTACCCAAGCATCTTTCGCGCTGGAATGGCTTTCTTTGCAATGCTTCTGGGCTAAAGGTCGGAGCCGATCCAGTTGATCCTTCAGTCCACCGGAGCTCACATTGAAGAAGCTGGCCAATCTGTCAATGCTCTCATTCTCAGCACTCTGGAAGAATGTTCTTGTCTTGGCCAAAGAGCTCGTCAGCGAGAAGACCTGGCCACACAGCACGTTCCAAAACTTGAAACCCAAACTCAAAAGTTGAATCCCAAAACGGCCTAAGGCCTCAGACTTGAAACCTCAAAACTATGTAAATTTTCAGGCTGGTCACCCCAAATGAGCTAAATAGCCCATAATGAGGGAACTCCGTCCGCAAGACTTCCAGGGCCAATCGAACCCAAACCTTCATGTGGTCCAAGCATCGGTCCGTCATCTCTTGATCACAAGGTCTGAGCCGTCGAGCATCACCGGAAGCGAAGAAAGCAACCTTGCCTTCCGATAGCATGTCTAAGGTAAATTTGGTGTAGCCGGTGTCCAGAATCAGCTTGTTGAGGATCAAAGCTTGGATCCGGTCTGCAAAGCCTTGGACATAATTTCCCAATTCAGCACTGTCGCATTGCTCGTCATCGACAAGCCTGAGGAGGACCAGAGCCTCGTCAGTGCAGTCTGCCAACATGCTGAGCTGCAGCACATGCTCAGAAGTCAGTGAGTTCAACCAATTTCTGATGGAGGCACCTGTGGCATCATGCCGCTGCTGGATTATTCGCTGTGCCACGGCAATCACAGCAGGCAGGTTGCTCAGAAGCCGGCACAATGGAGTAGTGTGGGATTCAAAACGGTGTTTCGCCTTGTTTGAAACCAAACTGAAAAACTTGGGACACTAATACTTGAAGATTGGATCAAACCAGCCACTCAACACAAACAGGATTACTTGTTTCCATGGCAAGAGTCTGATTTCAGGTTGTGAGCTGTGCCACCCATCTTCCCCACTTCAATTTCAAACCACTGCCGAAAGACGAAGCTTCCATCGATCACCCTCACAATCGAGTTGCCATGGAGCACGTTGTTATCCATCAACTGGCATAAGTAATCCGATGATTTGAAAGGTCTTTGCAGAACATGCCTGAAGGAATGAGCGTGATCACGAGCTACTAACTTCAGATTGGGCAAGAGTGTATCTGCAGTATCACTTTCAATCTGAAGGGCGCGACGCCCGCGGTTCACATTGCTAGCCGCAATCTCATTTGCCGCGGAATCAGAGAGAACCACTTCAATAGACTCTCTGTTGATAAAGGTCTGTATCCAGCTCAGGAGTCGGTCCCTCATACCGCCTGGGTGGGTTCTGGAACTTGGTGCAAAAGTTCTGCAGCACCGCGCGTGTCCCCCTGGCCTCAACTGTTTACTTTGAAAGATACAATGACGACGAACAACAATAAGTATATAAACGCAAAGGCACTTGAGTAATAATGAGAAGGAACAGTGCAAAGGAAGCAACAAGACAAAGAAACACACACACACACAACAAATCAAATAATTACAGAAACAGAGCTCAACCATTGTGCAACCAAATAACGATGTCTCCTGTGCTTTCACCATAGCCTCTGATCATGCCGATGATGCCATAGCCGATCTGAAATGAGTCCTCAGTAGCCGAGTTCCCCGAAAGTAGCCGAGTTCCCTGAAAGCAAATTTAAAATTAACAGCAACATGACTTTTAAATCCCAGGATCCGTAACACCTCCGAAGCGCACCAGGAGTCTTTGGCGTCTCCCATCGCGGGCTATGGAAATCGTGGGGCATTTTCGTAGAAAGTCCCTATCCTTCTGAATGATGGTTTCGTTCAGGCACCAGGCCATCAAGGAGACTTTGTCTGAGCGTTGGCCATCCAAACAACCTCGGCTGACAAGCATTGCATCTGATTGGAACCATTATAATTTAAGTCAAAATTTGTCAACGGACAAAATCATCGAAATATCAAAAAGCAATTTTTGTGACATGTCTCCTCGTAGCGACGATCCTTGCTGCAGCTTCTTGAACAGGTCCTCAAACTCGGAGAGGGAAGGGCCACATTCATAACTTTCGCTAATGCCAAGGAACTTCTTGCAAGCCGCCATGTTGCGATTCTTGGTGCTTGGTCAAGTACCACGCGCGAAACTTGTCCACTAGACCAGCAGTTCCCAATGCCCATTCGCTCATAGTATTTGCCTTATTGCATGGTAAGCATCCGCACCCCTTCTTTGTCCCCAGTATCCATGACTGCTTGGCCATCTTCTCGGAGGCAGCAGTAGGGTACACAAAGTCTTTGGGCAAGCAACTGCCAACCAAAAACTTGCTTTCCCAGGCTTTGCGCCTCCGGATCCAAAGTTCTTTGAACTTCTTCCGGAGCTCAGCCGTCTCGTTCGTGACACCCATCGTCTTGATGGGCTTGAGCTTGGACTTCTGTTTCTTACTCTTTGCCGTTTCCTCCTCGTCATAGACATCATCAGCGTCAGATCCGGCCACCCTTTCGTCAGCGACCTTGTCGAAGTCGAGGGAATCAAGGTCCATCGCGACGAGGAGGACAAAGATGATGGTAGTTTGCCAACTTTGAACTCTTATCCTGCAAGAAACCCTTGATGATCCCTCCCTGTTAGGCACAAGCTAGGCACATAATCTCATTGTTCGGCACATGTGCCTAGGTTGTGCCTAAAAAGCTAGGCACATATAACTCCTTGTTCCTAAGGCCTTCCCAAAAACTATAGGCACTTATAGCCCCATTGTTAGGCACATGTGCCTAGGTTGTACCGAAAAAGCTAGGCGCATTATAACTGTTTGTTCCTAAACCCCTCCCAAAATTCACTGAAAGCTTTCAATCCTTAAATGCAACTTGTCAATAATTAGCAGAGTGTATGACTGTAATTTCCAACAAGAATCATCGTCGATGTAAGTTCTCAAATACGAATCTTTTCGTATACTCACGTTGGCAAATTTGGGCCTCAATAGGCTTCGGTGATGCAGGGAAATTGCTGCGGCGGCATCAATTGATAAAAGCTTTTGGAAACACACCGCAAACACACAACTTTTCAAACCAGGATACAGCGCGTGCCAATGCCACTATTTCTGAACGCACATACACACTAGCTTGTGAGCGAAGCCCAGTATAATGAGAAGATTGGGCCTAAATAAGATGCAATTCAAGATCACTGATTTCCTGTTAAATGCTAGCTGCTCACAAAAATGACTCAGACTCAAAACATTTAGAATTGCAACGGCAAACTTAGCCACTGAATCACCCTGAAAGATTCAGGCAAATCTGGGCCAAAGGCCTCTGAATCACCCATATCGATCCGGGCAAGGCTGGGTCAGGGCCCCTGAATCACCCGATGCTGAGTCGGGCAAGCCCGGGCCAGTAACCACAGAATCACCCGGACCAATTTGGGCAAGCCAGGGCCTGAGACCACAGAATCACCTGAAGCTAATCTGGGCAAGCCAGGGCCAGAGTCCAAAAATCACGACGATCATGATCATGCGAAGACGGCAGCGATGAATCACAGCATGATCAGCAGCGATCCAGCCAAGCCATGGCCCATGGCAATACAATTCAATCCGGATGCTGCATAAAAACTAGTTAATGCCAAGGATTTTAAAGGCAACAACTAGAATATAATCCAATTGTGTGTTTTTAAGTAATATGCTTGGAAAACCAACAAGTTAAAAGAGGCAGCGGTAGATGCACATGTCTGCAACATCTGAGCCTGCTCCTTGAAATGATTCTTACCCGCGTTTGCATTTTGCAGCCTACACTTTAAACAACTGAACTCGACGATCGGTGGCACCAAAAGAACAAATCGCAACACAATTCTTCCAAATGGTCGCTAAAAAGGTTTATTTTTTCTATTAGTTCTTATTTATCAACGTGTTTTTTTAAGTTTTGAAAAGCGGACTGTCAAATCAATGGTTCAAAAGCTGGTCAGAAGCCAAAAAATGGTGAATTGAGGATCAATGGCAAAATCAATTAAAACATTGAACTCCAGTTTGGGTTCCAAAAATGTCATTGACCAAGTGCGTGTTGATTTTTATAATATCGAATGTGAACAGGAAAGCATCATCACCTGAAACATGCTTTCATGTTTCCAAGGACATCTGTCAAAGTTGGCAATCTGTCAAGAGCAACCAGAGCAACCGCTAAACATCAGCAAGGTTCCATCACATGACCATGTGTCATCTTCCGGTAACGGAAAAGTCCACCCCGTCAGCATGGCATGGCTGTCCCTGTTACCCACAATGTCCTGGTGGTGGTGCTGCAGTGCCATCTGTTTTCCTGCGCTTCGTGGGATCGTCTGGGTCCAGGTTTGGCCGCTTGAGGAGGCCATGCAACTGGCTCTTTTGCTCTTCTGTGAGCGAGATGCCCAGACTGTGTACAGAAGATTCTACTGCCATGGGGATTTGCTCGGGTTCCGGTGAGCCTGTTGCCAGTTCAGCTGGTGCTGGAGTTTGGTTGATGGCCTTCATGTAGTCTTGTGAGAGCTGATGTAAAGCCTTTTGACCATCAGCAAGTTTGCTCTGGAGGTCTTGCATGTCTGTGAGCAGTGAGGCATATTGAGCCTTGACGCCATCAATTTTCTCCTGTAGCTGGTTCTTGCGGGTGGACATAGCTTTCAACTCCGTCACTTGTCCTTTGAGCTTGGTGGCAATCTCGCGTTCTGCGCAGGGTTCTGGTGCCGTGAGCTTGGTGACGATCTGTTGGACTTGAGGCGGCAGTGCATCCATGTGGGTCTTCAGGATGTCTGTCAGCTCAGGTTCGTCGGGTTTGCTAGGGCCAATGCCAAGAGCCTGAAGCTTGGCCTGGGTGTCCTCGGGTAGGACGGACCGGGTCTGTGGCCTCTTGTTGCATCTTGGTTTTCTTGAGGGGTTTGAACTTCGTAAGGCCAGGTGGAGTGTCCAGCCATTGCTGATGGGGCGTGGTCCTGGAGGCAGGGCGTCCATACCCTTTGCCTTTCCCTGTACCAGCTGCTGGATTTGGCCACCATGTGACCATGTGCCGCGTCTGCGGCATTTGGTGCCTGTCTTCACTCGATCGGTCCAAATCCAGTTGTTGCAGCCATGCTTGGAACAGGTCATGTAGGCTCGACCCCATTGAGGCGTCATAGTCCCTGAGAAAGAGCTGCTTTGTGGCCTAGGGCCTAGTGATACGCAGTCAGGTAGGCAAACTGGGTGGCACCGATCGTGATCAGGCCTGTGGTCTCCTCAGTGAGAAGGGCCAATCACCCGGGAAATCACAGGGATGTAGCCAGGCGAGACCTGCCGGTCACCGTAGAGCTCGACAGGGGTGTGCAGGTTGAGGTCGAGGATAGCGAGCAAAGAACGTGTTCTAGTTGGACTTCTCGATGGGCCGTGCTGAGTGTCAAAGTCCCGCACTATGTGGCAAGTGGGGATCCGCACTAGGTGGGCTTTATGGGGTGCCACCTTGAGTGCTCACGGCTTGAGCCTTGAGCCATGTATGTATGTATGTATGTATGTATGTGTGTGTGTATGAGTATGTGTGTGTGTATGTGTGTGTATGTGCATGTGTGGATGTCTGTCTGTCTGTCTGTCTGTCTGTATGTCTGTCTGTCTGTCTGCCTGCCTGCCTGCCTGGCTGGCTGGCTGCCTGCCTGGCTGGCTGGCTGGCTGTCTGGCTGTCTGGCTGTCTGGCTGTCTGTCTGTCTGTCTGCCTGGCTGTCTGTCTGTCTGTATGTATGTATGCATGCATGTTGGGCTCCTGGGCGCTCTCTCACCATGATGAGTCCTCCGGCTTCCTCCTCCTTCATTGGTATCATGGTGGATGTGCGGCGAAGTTGCACAAGGGTCAACGCATGCAAAGGGTTGAGTTTTATGCAACAGTGTGGACTCCGGTCTGTTACAGCTTGTGGCCTCTGGGTCCTGGGTTCTGCAATCTCAACCTATCTACAAGTGCCCACCCTTAATCATGCCATGGAGCTTGCCGTGGACGTGGGGCGAGGTGGCCGGTAGCCATACTCCATCAGACCTCGGCACTCCACTCAACCCCGACTGATGTCGCATCATGTCGCAACATCAATCCTCTGTAGACTGTTCACAGTTGCTTCCGGCGGAATGATGCAAGGAATTGGCGCCCATTTTTCTGCCTTCTCACAGTCAGAGATTGGCGGTCTACCGCAGCACACCAGTCGTACTGCGAAAATGCTCTCATGATTCCTTGGAAATTTGCATGAGGCAAAATTGAAAAAGTGAAGGTTTGCATGCCAAGCAAAAGCAGGCACCTGGCATTTTCTTCGAGATGCTGTGCTTTGGGAGTTGAGAAATTCAATCAAGTTAAAGAATGCCTCAAAACTCTCAGTACTTGAGCACCGTGAAATCCAGCTTGCGTTCTGACTTGATGACCTCCAGGGTGTGAGTGTTGGTTTGTGAGAACCCAGCCTGTGCCACTCGCACCAACCCTCTGCGTTCAGCTCAAAAAGGCCTTTGCAACTGAGTCTACAACCACCAACAAATTGGCCTCTACGACTTTATAAGACCAGCCTTGCCGACCTGCTGCCCAAAAAATAATAAAACATCACAACACCAGAGGTGAGACTTTGAAACAACATATCGCCGCTCTGACGGATGTTTTCACTTCCTGCCTCAACCATGTCAGGTCCGGCGCATTTCATTCCGTTGACCTTGAGGATGCGATCGCCTGGCTGGATCTCGTCCTTGGGGTGGGAGCGGTTCCATTTGGCCAACAAGCCACTGGAAGCCACTTCTTGGATCACTGCGCCGGCAGAATTGCTGCAGTATTCCAACTTCATCCCAAGGTTGCCCACCTCGGGTTCTCAGATCCATGCAAAAGAGGATTTGTGGGATCGAGGCTTCCTCCTCTTTTTTCGAAGAAAAATTGCAAAGGCTGATGAGTGGATAGAAAGGTCTCTTTGGGAGTGTTTGTTGGACACGCATGCCAGCGATATGGCGCATATATGCACGTACTCTCTGCCCCTCACTGGTAATCCCCAACGAAGAAATCACCAAATTATTCTGCCTATTCTTTCAGCGACCCTCGCCTTCTCCAGTTGCACCTGATGCTTCCGGGGTCGACTCAACTTGATGGTCACCAAGTCGCGGAGCTTGCGGGTCATTGTCTCAGAGATCTGAGTGGCACTTTCTGCTCCGTCAAGGGCCAGGATCACATCATAGGGCTTGATGGCTTGCGTGGGGTTCGCATCGTTGAAACTCGACACGGCACCCAGCCTCACTTCCTTGATCATGGGTCGGGTGTCTGAAGTCACATCCAAGTCAAGCCCCAAAGAAAGGAAATCTGCCGTAGGAATGCTCAACGTGAAGGTCCCAAAGTCTGGGGAATGGTCCGGTGGCAAAACGGCCACAGTCTTCACCGTGACCTCTTCGACCACTGAATCTCCGCTCTCCTGGACGCAGCAGCAGAACATCGCCTTGTCTAAAATGTGAAACGTGCAGCAAAGACTCAACTGTGAGCGCTAAAAACCCGCTGAGCCAAGCTCACCCGGCGGCCAATGGCAATAAACATCAATCAAACAATAGCACCCCTAGAACACTGTTCAGTCGCGGAGTAACAAAATTCCCGTCAAATGCATAGACTGCTCTATATAGCAAGGTTCACGCCCTTTCTTTTTCCAGCCAGCGTCTCAGGCTTGGTGTGTGGTGGAAACATGGCCTTTTTGGCACTTTGCTCC